ACATAAAATGCTCTTTAAAAGATCATCTCTTTTAAAGATACAACTATGTAAAATTCTTTAAATTAAAAAAAATATGTATATTTGACAATGAATGACACACAGAAATGTTGTTTACGAATTGAAGCATTAATAATTCATGAGTAGCCTGATATAAAAATTATCCTCGTCAGAACTGACATTCGCAAATCAGGCGACATTGAATTACTTGGCTCTCGAGACAGATTAAATTGAATTTGATGAGGAGACAAGAAACATACGTTCATCGAAGGAAGAGCTTTCTTGAACTCCGCGGACACGGATCTGTCGAGGCAACAACGTCAACAATACACCCGCACCGCCCACTCCCATAATTACGTTACGCCTAATTAACGCGATCTTTGCGATTGGCAAGGATACGCAAGAAAGTCTATGAGAGACAGACGTGACACGGACTTGTCGCGGTTTTTGAATATTGAATCTTGAATATTCACCGAATTGATGATAACTGGCGTTAGGAGATAGTAGAAGTTTCCGATGTCAACAAAGCGCAGAGAATTACTCACACTCGTGGAACGGCGCCGTGTAGTGGAAGGCTGCTTGTCGTGATCGTTGGGCCGTGACCGAAGAGTGTGAACAGAGAACGTGCGGACGACGGTCCACGGATTCGTTGCTCTTCGAACGCAAAGTTATTTTGTCATCGAGTCGAACAATGATCAACGATGGTGAGAAACACTCGTCTCGAAATATCACGCGCAATATGGCAGGCCGCGCTTGTCGCTAGCGACGATGGCGACGAGCGAAACGTCAAACCACCTGTCACTCGCTTTAAGTCCGTTCGTCCGTCCGTCCATCAATCTGCTGCAGCGCTGCGGTCTCATCGTTCGACTCAGTCGGTCGATTTATCGATTTTTGACTCGCGCCAACTTCGCTCGCTGCGGCGCCAACTTCTCGCAGCTCATGGACGTCATAAATCCTGATTCGCCGAAAGAATGATCTGGTCGCGTCAGAGAGAAACCTGAGAGAGGCTATGTTGGCCTTCTTCCTGTTACCGTCGAAATCACTCGTACACTACCACCAATATATCCATTTTTAATTTGGGAATTACGTGACTACATACATTTTTTGATACTATCGATAAAATTGTATCGAAAGTAGATGTGGTTTGTCTCTGTACTAAATCCTCAGAACAGAAGCGTACCGACTATTTATAGGAGGGATAGTTTAATGGGTTTTTGAATGAAAAAATTTTAATTTTGCATCTCCTACATACATATGTAAAAAAGTTGTTAAATTTTAATAAATAACGTGCCTGAGATTAATCTAGATTAATAGAAATGGACATAAATGACAAGCCAATCAGAATTCAATGTCTCTCCTTTTCGCTCGTAATTTCATGTTACGTTTCGCATCTAGTTGTTTCTTGTGCTTATGAACAACACTTAACGGAGTACTGCGTAGTCAGCGTCAGTTAACGTAGTGTGCACTTTTGTGTTCATTTCAGTTCACTGTAAATCCAAACGCGTAGAAACGAGTTTCACGTAAAATAATATACATATTTAGATAAAAAAACAGAAAGCAGGAAATCTTAAGATAATCGATATCACGGCCGTGACAGACTGTTCGAATTATCACCGAAAGAGTATACAATAGTTGTTTTAGTCGCCCCGGAATTCTCCGCCCTCTTTATCACTCTTCGCATATTGGTAAGATTCAATACATGTCGACAGCAATTGTGAAAACGACGCATGTGTCGAGTAAAATAAAGTCACTTTTCTGAGTCATGTGTGATGAAATAGCATTCAGATATATTCAGAATTTTTTTTCTTGTAAAATGCTGATTCGTAAACATTTCGTCTAATGATTTGTCTCTCTTTGTTCACTTAATTGTTGATTTGTATGTTTTTTTAAAAGGGTATAGTATATATTTATTTATAAAAATAAGAAGAGCTACGTGATTAGCTTTTACCTTAATCCTATTTTTGTATTTATCAAATGACTTTTGTTTACATGACAAACTATAAATGTCAAAATGTACGATATTTTCCGATCTATAAACAAATGAATAATTATCTCTATAATTAATCAACTATACAAAGCATAATTATAGATAGTCTATTTGTGTATCGATTATTGTTTCATATATTTCAACATTTTTAATTTGCCACATATTTAGAGATGATGTTCCAAATTTTTAAAAATGAATTTAAAAAGGCATTTAGTGATGACAAAATTACATTAACACACAAGATTAAATTAACTATAAAGGCCAGCTTTTTACGTAGTTCTTCTTACTATTCCAATAGGCATCAGTAAACTTATTGATTAAATGAAAGTTGAACGAACTCCATATTATAGTCATAGTACATCCTAGTACGTTTTAGTATAGCTTATAAACTTCATTAATGTTTTGAAATGCAATACTAGTCGATTCTTCTAGAAATCTCTGGATATTTATCATTTTTATTGATCAATCAAAGTCTGATATGAGTATAGTACTTATATATAAATAATAACTGAGTATATATAAATAAAATATATAGTATATATAAATAATAACTGAATATATTTTTAATATATTCAGTTATTATTTTTTAGATTGTTTTAATCATTTTAATTTTGTGTAATATTGATTGATAAGTATGATTGGTCTATTGATTTTGCAATAAGACTAAAGACATTTGAATGATGTGACGATCCTTTTAAACTCTCTGGACCTTGTCTAATGTTTACAACATTCAATTCATAAGTTGCATTGATAAGTTAAAATTTTAGTAGGCGCGTTCCAAATTGTACACTAATTAGCACACAGGAATAGTTCTTATGTCATAATATCAGATTAGCAGTTGTGTAGAGAGCAGTTGTCTGCAAAACACTATTTATTTAAATATGTGTTACATATATCCATAGGATATCATCTATTACAGATTGTTTTAGCTGACTATTACAGATGCCATACATTCTAGTACGTGGCAACCTAGCATCGTACAGTCATAAATATCCCTGGAGGGTTTTAGTGTCAGGGCTTAAAGGTACGAAGACTTCTCTATATTTGCCCTTACGCAAATATATATGTTACCTTTTTGCTTTTTCAAACTTTTCAATTAAATAAAGTGTCCCATGATTTGTGAATTACGTTTAAAAATTCTATCTGACGTTTCTTTTGTAATCTTTCTACATACATGTAATAAAAATAACACAAGATAATAAAATAACGTTCTTAGGATAAATTGACACAGCTTTGAAGATTAGAGGAGATAATGTTGTGGCTAGAAATATTGCAGGTGTAATAAAGCAACAATTTTTTAGGTACAAGTAATATTCAATTATGTTATAGCGGCTGACATAGAGCAGTTGAGTCGGTTCTCCACTATAGGATATTGCGACGACTCGACGATAGTATATTTGCAACATCCTTGCATAATATTGACTGCTTTAGAGGTACTCGGTTACAAAGTCGTCGCATCATCCAGTACTAGCATTAAGCAGGATTATAATGAGTACATGTGGACTATGAGAAAAGAATTCTCAGAACCTGAACCCGATACTGTTGTAAAAAAAGCTGGTATGGCTCGAAATATACTGCTGCTTCAAGAGCACTTAACGTTGCATAGATATTCATTAGGCACAACCATTCTAATGCTTTTAAGATAAATCTTACCTACTTCAATACCTAATCTGATTTAACAATCTTAGCTTACTCTCGCACAATGTAAACAAGTTGTTACAGCATATGCATACATTAATATTAATTCAGGGACAGCATGTTGCACTGAAATTAGCAGCATGCACGCATTGAATCATTATTGATACTTTTGGGATGGATAATTACTATTAATTCCTCTGGAAAGTAAATACAGTGAAAAAGTTTAAAAAAAAATTAATTAAAAATTTTTACATAGATTACTATATGAGAAAACATTCATTGATATAAGTATGTCGATACAAAAGATAATGATACATACCATTTATTTTTTAAGTTCTTTAGTAAAAATGAGTTTAGTAAAAATGACATAATATTGATATTCGTACATATTTTTGCTTCTGTTAAGAATGAAATGAAGATAGAAAAAGAAATATGATAATACTATCTCAAAGTTTCATTGGACTCTAACAAGCTCATGATATAAAATATCACTCTGTGCTATTTTATATATATTAAGTTGTTATATATATATATA